TAGCCGCTTCTCAAATCTAGCTTGGTGAAGTACTTCGCTCCTTGAAGTTGATCAAACAAATCATCCATACGAGGTAATGGATATTTGTTTTTCACCGTTTGCTGATTCAACCCGCGATAATCGATACATAGTCTCATGGATCCATCCTTCTTCTTCACAAAGAGTACTGGAGCTCCATAAGGTGAAACACTTGGTTGAATGAATCCCTTGCTCAACATCTCCTCCACTTGAGCTTTGCATTCTTCCAATTCGTTTGGAGCCAAACGATATGGAGCCTTGCAAGTTGGTGTACTTCCAGGTATCACCTCAATCTTGTGATCTACTCGCCTCTTTGGTGGTAATCCTGCAGGTAGATCATCTGGAAAAACATCTTTATACTCCATAAAAATGTCGTTCAAGGACTCCGGGATGTAAGGTTTGTCCGTGGACCCAATATCTCTTATAAGTCCAAGGAAACATACATCATCTCTAGAAATGGATGCTGTACCCATCACAAAGAGGGGTAAATTCCTATTCTGAGATCTAATTCTATCTCCATAGATCTTCCATCCACTACTTGTAATCACTTTTCTTCTCCAATCTACCTTCGGATTATATTGTTCCATCCATGGCATTCCAAGGATGACATCATATCGAGCTAAACGAATTACTCTCCATTCAATGCTCTCCTTGTATCTACCTATGGATAATTCTACACTCCGTGGTAGTGTTTCTATCACTTCAGTTTGCCCGTTTGGCAATTCCACTTCTTCACTCACGTCCTTCATCAACATCAAACCTAACTTCATAGCAACACTCCTTGATAGAAAATTCTCAGTTGCTCCAGGATCAATTAAAACTCTCACCTTGTGTCCTTCCATGAAACCATCAGTGACAATGAGTTGAGCTTGCTTCTTACTCCTTCCATGAGCTCCCAACCATTGCCTTCTTCCAACCTCGCCTTTTCTTCGCTTTGTAGAACCAGTAAGGCCGCGAGGCAAGATTACTGGTGATCTTCGTTTCCCGAAACTGCTTCCTTCACCTCTTCATACTCTATCCCCTCCATATTGTTGAACGGTCGTCGCTGCATGGGCCGTCCTCCTTGTTGTGTCGGCCGAACTCGACAAAACTTGGCTATGTGACCCATTCGTCCACATGCATAGCATTGGCAATTGTCACGAACTCCAGCTCCTCCTCGAACCATTCCATTATTTGCATAACCTTCTTGCAAATTTGGAACTCCTGGTCGCCTAATCTCACCTCCAAATCTTGGTGGTGGTCCTCTTGTTGGTGCAAAACCTTCTCTACGTCGAAGGTTTCCCAACTCCATCGGTGTTGGACCAGATGGATCTCTAAAATTGCTCACTGGTTCACCGTGTGTGACACCAAAAGCACCTGAAGTTCGTTGAGCAATTGCGATTGCTTCATTCACAGTAGATGGATTGCTTACCATCACCTCTTTTCGAATTCGATCTTTCAAGCCTCGTTTGAACACGTCCAAGGCTTCAGCTCCACTCATATCCATGATAGATACTTGAAGATCACGAAATTCTTCAATGTACTCATGAATACCTCCTTTCTGCTTCAGATCCCACAACTTCATTCTTGCAGTTTGAAGAGAATCCACCGCTTGAAAATTTTGCAGAAGTCCTTCTTGCATTCCACTCCACGAAATGATAGCACCTCGTTCTGAAAGCATTCTCTTCCATGTTGTGTACCATGTGAGAGCCTTATCCGTAAGATAAGATCTCATGAACATTCCTGCAATATAATCAGAAACATGAAAATGGGATAAATGAATATTCATCCTCATAATCCATCCCTCTAACACTCCCATTGCTCTACTCACTTTGTAAGCTTCCACCTTACAAGATTTTCCCATTCGAAGCAAAAGATTTGCTTGATCTTCAATCTCTTGAAGACGTCTCCTATTTGCCTCTGCTGCATCAATAGGAGTGGGTTCTGGCTGAACTTGGGAAGCTTGAACTTGAGGTTCAACTTTCATCTCTCCAACTCTCTCTCTCTCTACTTTCTCACTCTCTAATGCGAAGATTTTATCTTCCATGGCTTGCTGCTTGGTATGCCCATCTACTATTGCTTTTCTCAACTCCTTCATCTCCGCCATGATTGCATTGAGAACCTCACCCATATCAATTGATGTTCCCATGCTTTCTAACAATCCCTCTAATACAAAGTGAGTATAATCACTATGTGACCTCTCAACAAAGGAGTCACAAAAGGTGCAGGTGACTCTATCACAGCTCTATAGTACTCCTCTCCATAATTCCTCACAAGAAAATCTCTCCATATCCTCTTCTGTCTATATACTGTTCTAATCTCTACATAAGTGCTGAATCGAACCGGGACAGGTGGTTCGCGATTCAAATCCATGAAACAATCAGTATAGAATGTATATAGTACAATCCCAAGTCTCTCCATAAGTAACTATTGGAAGAATCAGTGGCACTCTTGACTCCATCACTCTAGTCATAAAATCTGCACCCCAACAAGCCACAAGGTACATTCAAAAATGATGTTTCTCCATGCAACGAAGGTGAATATCGAATAGGTTAGGAATTGGCCAGTGCGGTACTGGATTCCTGTCAATCCAGTCCATATCTGCAAAAACACAATTTCCCCCTTCCACCTCTCTCTCCATGCAGATGAATGACCTCTGCCAGCCTCTATACACTCTCAAGACTACACTCCATCATCACTCACTTGCTATTCCATGAGGGGTAATCCACATTCAAGGAAAGAGCAAGGTCGCTCTGATACCATTGTAACACTAGGGTTTAGAGAGAAGTTCACTCGAAGATAGAAACGTAAACTCTGAAGATGAGAGATACCAACAATGGTTCTCCTCTCCCTTATATAGCTCTCACCAACAAGTACAAGGTGATAAGATCTAATCCCCACCATCCATCCCACTCCTAGTGGATGGATGACGTGGCGGATAACCCTAACAAGCACACGGATCGCTGACGTGGCGCACCCAACTAACACACTAACTAACACACTCAATCCTTACCTACAAGCACACGGATTGCTGACGTGGCACTGTCAACTAACACATCCACTCTGTACCTACCAAGTGCGCGGATCGTTGATGTGGCAGCTATGACTAGTGCACACTAAAGTATCTACATCCATATTCAGAGTAACCTCTAATATAGTTCTAACTAACTAAAGATGGTTACAGCAGACAACCATGCGCTAGCCAATCCTTCTTCATTAACTTCAGTGCTACCGCATGATCTCGTCAAGCTCTCTGCTGCCGAATTTAGTCGCAGGGCGCGCCGACAAACCTACCGCCTGTAGCACTGTTACTCTGTCGACCATATTGACGCTATTGCCGACGAGCACAAGCTCCTTCTACAGGCATATCGTTCTGAGGTCGTGCTGAAGCAGTCCATAGATGGCTTAGACGGGCGATCATCATTCAAGGATGGTTGGAGTCTCATCGGATCCAGATTTCCCAACCTGATGGAGTTCTGTGGCGTTGTTCTTGCCACCATTTTCCCGGGCACCAGCAAAGTCGAGTCGGATTTCTCTGTTCTTCGATGGGAGAAGGACAATTTCCGCAAGAACCTGTCGAACTTCGGTATGGAAGGGGTATTGCAGTCGAACCCGTGGATGTTTCTAGAGCAGTTCGAGGAATAAACAATCATATATTCATTAAAAGCTCACCATTTCGCTGCGCCTGAACTTAATCTAAACGACGGTCTTCAGGTGTGACTAAATTAAGCTAATTTAGGCGACCGCATACATTAAGCAGGCCTGCTCATGCTGCATGTGTAATCTATATGTTACATGTAACGATGCATGAGTCATGCATCGTTGCATATTACTTCAGTACATTTGTCTCTATGTGAAAGTACCATCATCTTGGTTGTCTCACTCACCCCATAGACTCGATACTGAACCAAAGGTTCATCCTTGTGATGTGTTATTTGAAATATAATTGTAAGCTACTTGTAGCGTTCGATGACAATAATGTTGTGAGTATGTTGAGAGGTGTACCATAGCAAACATCTCTTCTACATCGTATTGACCGTGAGTAAAATGTTAAATTTGATTTCACATCGTAAGAGGTGGATGTACTGAATTTGCGAAGAAATGTTTTTAGAAGATTTTATTTTCGCCTTAAAATGCAGTGACATGATGAGAATTACGGACATGCATAGAAATACACATGAAGATGATATTGTCCATAAATTCTACGAGTTATCTATAGGCAGATCTTTTCATTTATAAAACTCATGCAAAGTGCTGATTACAATTTCGAATCCAAACTTTGATGAATTACTTTGCATCAAGTTTACGTGATATGTTTCTTCTCGACAGTCGCACGGCCAAAAGGCTCGCCTGGAAGTAGGCGAGTGAAACCAAGATGACGATATGTCAGCGTGCATGATTCATGGACTGCGTGAAACTTAAAATAAGAGCAGAAATAAACCACTCGTGACAAGACGATCTATTTTCTCAACAAAGATGTTCATCGATCAGCGGAAAAGAAAAAGCAAAAAGGGGCTCAGTTGGAGCATTATGGCAGCACTTGCCACCATGTAGCATGCAGGCCAGTGGCCGCGCGTTCATTAGTGATAGAAAACGCATTGATTAGTCGAGGCCAGGGCGGAGTCTCGGAAGTCCCCAAGCGGAACATGGGACAGGCTCACGGGGACCGAAAGGAGGCGGGCCCAGCGGGCGGGCGGGCGGGCAGTTAAGGCGAGCACCGTTGGCGCGGTCGTCGTAGGCGGACGTGGTAGAAGAGAGTGATGTCCGAGGGGCGACGTGGTAACTGGTCCCGGTTCGAAGTACAGAGAAGAGAGCACGGGATCTTGTGGATCCAGCCAATCGCCGAGCGCTGCGCCACCCCAAGAATAGGTCGCCCGGGCTCCGGTGCGGTAAGCGGGGCACTGCAAGCGGTGAAAATTTAAAAATACCCTCTTTTGTTGGATTCGATGGCCGGGCTCGGGCTCGCAGGGGCCGGCCAGTCATGCATGCAGCAGCCCCCCAGGCGGAGCAGGCACGGGGGCAGGGGCAGGGGCAGGCAGCCGCGGGCCATGAAGGAACAGTCATCCGCTCGGCCGCGGGGCTTGCGCTTGCGCTTGGGCTTGTGCTGGTGCTTGTCGTCATAGTCCCCCGAAGGCTGTTCTGGGCCTCGGCACGACGAGCCATAGATCGCTCGATCGAGCACGGGCATAATGCTTGGATTTGTTTGCCTGCAGGCGTGGAGCGAGCGAGCGGGGACGGAAGGGCAGCAGCTGATGCATGCTTTTGTGGGTGGTGGTGGTTGTTTGGACGACGGTCGGTACGAGGAATAATTTGCAAGTTTGAAGTGAAGTGATTATCGAGCAGGCGGGGGCGGGAGCAGGAGCAGGGCAAGCAGCCGATCGATTGTTGGGGCTGCGGTACATTGTGGAGGTGGCGAGCGGAGAAGGAGTGGAATTGGAAGGAGCGGCGTCATCGAGTGGGCGAGGGGTGAAGGTGGGAGCTGCGTGTGGCCCTATTCCTTGTCGGTCTTGTGCATTGCTGTGTCGCTTGTTGGCGTTGGCCGATCCGATCCTCGATGCTCGCTGCGCAGTTTGCAATGTGGCCCGAGTGTAGCGCGTGCAATTCTGTACGTGGGGTTTGAGAAGTCGGGATAATGCCGGACAATGCGGGTCGGTGCATTTTTCTTTTGTGGTTGATACATTTGTGTGCGCCTCGGAGCCGGCAGTTTTTTGCCGCGTGCGCTTTCGAGCGTGTCGCATGAGTCCAGCTCGCGTTTCTGACTTTTAGCTCGATGTCTCACCTGTGCAGAATAAGCCCAGTTTACAGATCGTAAGCTGTAACATGGCGTCAGGTGGTGCTGCAAAAGTCGGATCTTCCTGCCGCGCTTTAGCAGAAGATCTCGCGCCCTTCTCAGGAGATTGTAGTATTCTCTGAGCTGGCGACGTCAGCGTTCGATCCGACGGAGTAATCAGCTTGGTTCACCCTCTTCGATGAGGGACATCCCGCTCAATGTCACATCACGCGGAGAGGTTCTCTCGAGCTTAAGCACATGTGAAGTTGAGTTTTGTGCTCGAGGTCCCGGAGGCTCTCGTTTGCGCGAACTTTTGTCGGAAGGCCAGCAGACTTTCTGCAATCAGGAAGCCTAGAGCTTGGTCGAAGTTTGCCACACATCTCGGACGCGAGCTGGAGGCGAGTTTTTGGTGCAGCGGTGCATAGTTGTATAGATTAGGGAGATGGAGCTGCAACAACGCAGGGATTAGATTCCGAAGGATCTCTTGCACAGTGATGATCTGAGGAGGCGCTCATTTCAGCTATGAGATACGGTGGATCATGCCCCAGAAGTGATTTTGATCGTCTGCCAGAAGGAGAAAGAATATCACGACAGTGCACGCAGAACTATGGATGAGTTTGATCAGTGGATCAACTCTCATGAGACACTGGATGGAATGTCAGCTACAACTGCAGCGGACCTTGAACGCGAGATTCGTCGTGAGGGGGAGGAGATTAGGAGAATGACGCAAGTCATGAAAGAGATCAGCGAGCGGAAAGAGAGGGCCACTAGGAAGACGAAGGTCCTGCAAGCGTTAGCATGGGGAGCAGGGGAGGAGGTGAAAATGGTGACCGAACGCCTTCATCAGGTTAAACAGGAGAAGCAGCGTTTGGAGGAAGACAACATTCTCAAGGATCAATGCATTCGTTCTCTCGTGGATGAGCGAAAGCAATTTTTGTCTAAGATTAGTGAGCTGTCCGAGGATCTCAACACGCTTAGGCGCTCGGATCAGGACCGGAGTCAACTTCTGAATGAAAAGAAGGAACTCCTGTCGAAAATCAACGTGCTCACGGATGAAAATAGTTCACTGCAGCGGTCGGATCAGGTGCACAATCAGGTCGTTCACGACAGGGATGAACTTCTGTCGAAAAATTCTGTGCTTTCTGAAAGGATCAAAGCTCTTGAGCGGACGGAACAGGAGCGAGCCGTGCTGGTCAGCGAAAGGGAGGAACTTCTGTCGAAATTGAGTTCACTTTCTGAAGAGGTCAGTACGTTGAAGCAGTCGGATGCCCAGCAACTAGGACAGCTGCTGGACGAAAACAAGGCACTTGTGTCTACAGTCAGTCAGCTCACTGAGAATCTCAAAGCATTGGAGCAGTTGAAACAAGGGCAGGAGACCCATGTCGAGGAGAAGAAGGGATTGCAATCAACCATCAATGTACTTACTGCAGAGATCGAAGCATTGAAGCGTTTAGATCAGGAGCGTGCACAGCTTTTGAAGGACAAGGATGAATTTGTAGCGAGGATTGATGTGCTGACTGAAGAGTCCAGGGCTTTCAGGCAGCTGGAACACGAGCGAGTACAGCTCATCAACGAAAGGGAGGAATATCTGTCTACGATTAACGTGCTCACGGAGGATATAAATTCACTCCGGAGGTTGGATCAGGAACGAGTGCTGCTAGCCAAAGAGAAACAGGAACTCCTGAACACGGTCAATGTGTTGAACGACGAGATCGGTTCTCTCAGGCTGCTGGATCATGAGCGCGTACAGCTTGTCAACGAGAAAGAGAAGCTTTTGGGGGATATCAGTGTTCTTACCGAGGACATTAACACAGTTATGCGGCTGAATTCGGAGGGAGATCAGGAGCGGAAGAACCTTGCTGCAGAAAGGGAGGAGCTTCTGACCAGAGTTAGTAACCTCACCGAAGAGATCAGTACATTCAAGCGACTTATCGAAGAGCGAGCACAGCTGTACGAGTTGCAGCGAGAAGAGTTAGAGCTGGAAATGAAACAAAGGGTAGTGGGTATGGAGCTTCAGCTCAAAGATGCGGATAAGAAGATTCGTGCATTAGAATCCAGCTCGAAGGCTACTGCTAGACTATATCAACAAAAGCAGGAGTCATTCAAGGTCTGCTTACAGAAATTTATGGCCGAGCTTCGTGATCTTCGAGCAGAATCGGATAGTAGTAAGCATTTGGTTCTAGGATTCCACGATGACTGGCAGAGATGGATTGACGACGTCGGTGTGGGAATCCAAGAATCTACGAAAGCAGCCACCGGAGGATATCAAAAGCTACTCATAGAGAACCGTAAGCTCTACAACGAAGTCCAAGATTTGAGGGGTAACATTCGAGTTTTTTGTCGAGTCAAGCCCATGGAGGGTGCACACGCGGGAACGCCAAGTGTAGTTGACTACGTGGGCGAAAATGGGGATATAATGGTTGTGAATCCCAATAAGCAAGGTAGAGATTCCCATCGTATCTTTAAGTTCAACAAAGTCTTCGGCCTGAGTGCATCTCAAGAACAAATCTACAGAGATACCCAACCATTGATCCGCTCTGTTCTTGATGGCTACAATGTGTGCATTTTCGCCTACGGTCAGACAGGTTCCGGCAAAACTTACACCATGAGCGGTCCTAGAAGTAGTACCGAGGAGCTCGACTTTGGTGTGAATTACCGGGCACTGCATGACCTGTTCAAAATATCCGAGAACAGGAGGGATACATTCCAGTACGAGATTGGAGTGCAAATGATAGAGATTTATAACGAGCAAGTCCGTGACTTGCTCTCGTCCACTGCTACGGGACAGAACAAGCGACTTGACATCAGGAAAAATTCCCAGCAACTTGGATTCAACGTTCCAGATGCTTGCTTGATGTCTGTGCGGTCGAAGGAGGACGTGTTAGAGCTCATGGCCATAGGTGAGCAGAATCGTGCAGTAGGTGCGACTGCTCTGAACGACCGAAGCAGTCGATCTCACAGTGTTGTGACTGTCCATGTGCACGCTGTGGACCTCAACTCTGGTTCCCGACTTCGAGGCTGTCTTCATCTGGTCGATCTTGCAGGAAGTGAGCGTATCGACAAGTCTGAAGTTACCGGAGACAGGCTGAAGGAGGCGCAGCACATCAACAAGTCACTGTCGGCTCTAGGGGATGTGATTGCGGCTCTTGCGCAAAGATCGACACATGTACCTTACCGGAACAGCAAACTGACTCAGCTGCTTCAAGACTCTTTAGGTGGGCACGCCAAGGCACTCATGGTCGTCCACATCAACCCGGATGTCGACTCATTTGGAGAAACACTGAGCACCCTGAAGTTTGCAGAGAGGGTTGCAGCTGTGGAGTTGGGTCTGGCTCGTAGCAACAAGGAACCTGGGGAATTGCGGGAGCTCAAGGAGCAGGTATCTGTGATGAAGGACATCATAGCCCAGAAGGATGCGGAAATGCACCGACTCAGAGACCTACGAATTTCCACTATCAGTGGGGACAGGGTCAAAGGAAAAGGCACAACAGCGCTGATTCCTCATAAGCTTATCAAGGAGAGTTCCCTTGCGAGGAGGGCCAAGTATTCCGCCTCTGGCTCCCCCCGTTTCTTGGTCGGGCAGAATCATCATCATTTGGAAGAACCCAAGTCACCTCTCGGTAATGCGATAAGTAGAGATCACCTCCACCACTCGTCTCACCTCGGTGGATCAGAGAACCACCATCCACAATTGACCATGGGGCAGCAGCAAAAGTCCTCAGTTGTGGATCATCCTGAGTCACAACTGCCTCGCTATACAGGAAAATCCTGGCTGCACAGGGAGTCTCTATAACGGCAACAATAGCTCTAGAAATAGCACCATCTACACATGTGATGAAATGTTAATTGTATGTGCGTACGGTGAGAAGGTTGGTTGCCAGCATCGGTTTTCTTGATCACAGTGGTTGCTGTCCATAGAATCTTTCTCAGCTCAATGCGGTGACAGAGACCGGAGATTTATGGTTCTCGGCAGCTAGACGAAGATATGCAACAAGAGCATACCAACATCTCAGGGAAATCGGAGTTCACAACCAGTTCAAATATTTGCTGAAATTCAGTTGTACCTTGCGTTTAGAGTACGTTTGAATGCTTAAGTAGGATAGTGAATATCACTCCACAACCCAAGTAGAAACTAGGTAATATTAGGCCATGTAGTTTTAGGTGAGGTGGATGATGAGCATCATTCCCTGTGTTTGCCTGCTCCCTACATCACACCTTCATCCAGCTTGCCGTGACTGTCGAAGCATGGTTCCTTTTTGTACATCATGAACTGGAGCGTGGGGATCAGCAACGTGTCGGTGTCGCTCAAGGCTGATGAAATTCATCAGCAGAAGAGCTCTGCGACTCTTCTAGCGCTTTAGACAGGTGACCGTCTTCGGTCCTTCAACTCAACATCTGTACAGTGTTTGTCACATGGCCCTTCTGGATCACGTGGTCATAAAAATATCCACCCATTCATTGTAGTGATCAAACCTTTCTATTGATAAAAGTCGTTTTGATCGACTTGAAGACCTCGAGTAATGGCTACACAAGTTCTCCGAGTTCATTTCTTCATTGGGGACGAGCCTCTCACTTCGAGCACCGTGCTCAGGTGGGATTGACTTTTGCTGGTGAGTTGGACTTGGAAACGTTAAGATATATGTCTTTTGAAATACTGCAAACAACGCATGGTTGAGGAAGGAACTGGGAGCTGTGAAGAGGGTATGCATCGCTACCAGCGAACTTAATGGTTCCCTTCACAAGTTTGCCTTTCGATCAGTTCTGTGAACCTCATACTGTGATGCAAAGTTCATTCCATGGTCCATGACGGGTCTCTGTTGTGAACCTCATACCGTGATGCAAAGTTCATTCCATGGTCCATGACGGGTCTCTGTTGAGTTATAGCTAACTGCTGGAAAACGTCGAGGTGTCCTTCAAAGACATGATTGTGTTCAGTAGCCTTAATGCTTAGTAATATCTGATTGTGCGAAAAGCGATGGAATTGTATACTTAAATAGGTCTGGGCCTGCAAAGATTAGTGGCGGCCTTGGTGAGCGCGAACGACGAAGTGCGAAAGAATTTTGGCACCCAGACCCTGGAAAGAGTATATGAGCTCTGTGCCTTGGACTTGGCATGGGCTTGAGTCACAGACGTTATGAAGTCTTCCAGCGTTTCGTTATCGAGATCGAGCGAGTGTATCCGGCTTGAGGATGAACAAATCTCATCTAGTCGTCTACGGTTTAAGCCTTATCGAAGATGAGAGCGATACATACAAACGATTGTAAAATTCTAACTTTCAAATATTGACTGTGAGGAAGGGTGTGTGGACAGGACGTACCACAAGCGAAGACAGTAGAGGACACTTCAAAAGGATAGGAGGAGAGCACATCACTCAAATGCAAAGTATTGCAATGAAATACTACAAATTGACATTCAAACTCTTTAGGCCTCTAGGGTTAGTTTCAGAATTTTTTCAGCATCCGGTGAAGGTATTTGTCTCTCAGAAGATGGGTGTTTCGATTGGCCAGGTCATCAAAGAGAAGTTGGACAAGAATAATCATGCAGCGTCCATGATGAAGAGCAATCGTCTAGGGTAGTTTGTGAATGGAAAAGCAAAAGATCCATCCTGAGAGTCGTGGCATACTGCCAGATTTTGCATTATATTTTGTAGCTGTATATGACTTGATGATTAGTCAAAACCAGAGTTGAGAGTTCCCCAATCACGAATTAGTAGATGGTAGCTAAGTTTGGAGATGATGTGTTCATCACGATGGCATAGAATAGGTTAGATGATCACCAAAAACTTGACTGCCGTGATTCCTGATTATTCCACGTCCAATGAATTATTGTCATGCTAGAGATTGGAGAGTGGAGATAATATACGAGTGTAGGTCCAAATACTAGCAATCAACAAGAGCATGCAGAGTTCAACTTATGTTCTATCTTGTGACATTAAGTTTCTAACTGGAAGTCGAAAGTCGAAAGTCGAACGTCTATACCATTGTTGATAAAATCTTGGAAACAAATGACTTTTACAAGTGATTCCACTCCTTAGCGTTCGACTGTCATCATCTGTCACACGTTCTCTCCTCGATACACACTCGACCTGCTCGATGCACTAGTAACTAGCATTCCAATGAATGAAGTTTCAGATAGCCTACTGTATCATTTGAGATTTAAAGTCAACTTGAGACACATGGACATACGCTCAACATATACTCACTACTTGATCTTCGTTTGGACTTCCTTGTGAGATCTTCTACGCATCGAATACGAGTACCCCAAACTCCTCTAAACGCAAAACGTAGTATCTGTAAGAATGACATGACAGTTATGTGAATAAATGAATAATGAAATAATGAATCCAAGCAAACCTCACCATGAGAATGCTTCTGCATATATAAAGATGTGAACTCTTGTATACGATTCCAATGCTTTTGTCATATTGTATGGCTTTAAACACTGAAATCTTGGTAATGTGAATGATTGACAGATAGCCCAGTTCAAGAGTTTAGTTCCTCGTGCTCATCGGAGATACGAGTATAGTACATTTGTCTTACAGTCAGACTTGAGAGTGAAAAATACGTGAAGAGTTTTGTGGTTGGGGTTTTATTTTCTCAACATGGTTTGGACATTGGTTAGTTCATATCCGAGGACACGAGTAGCAAATCTTAGTTTACAAACGCTGGCATCATGGTGGGACCAAACATCATGCTCTCTCGATCAAACAAACATAACATTGCTCTCGAACCAGAATTTTTTTGAGAGCTCGGAAGATCTGTCTGAGAGCTCAAGCGGTGAAAGTCCTGCATTTGAAGTCCGAGAAGTCGGCTCGAAGAATGCTTCTGGCAAGCACAGCAGTGAAGCAATCGAGGCTGGGGGAACGATTCCTGATTGCCGGATTGTCCCTGGCAGAGTTGGCCGGGCTTAATTCGAGGATAAATCCCTTGGAAAATACTGAGAAGGCCACGAAAGACCATGGATTTCGTACGTGTTCAGCTCATTTGCTGTGCCAGATTGATTGTTCGTCTCGAGCGTGAGCTGTTTGTTTAATGATCTCACCAGTCGAATCAAGAGTGTTTGGAGGCGCAACGAAGAAGAACGAGAAGGAGAAGGAGAAGAAACCACCGCTCAAGTGTTGCTTGTCACAATCTTCTTCCATCTCATTTCTTCGTGCTTTATTTAACAATGCTGGAAAGTCGCAGCAAATTCGTACCAAGTGTCGCGGGTGCGATCTTCCTGGGCCAGAGTTCGACATATCTGGTGCCAAGTTCCGAGTACCAAACAGCATTAAGGGTATGGAGCTGACGAGGGCTGGGACAGCTGCAGTGCCTAAGCTCGTGAAACATCCCCGCGAGAGACAAGCTTCTGTGCCCAGGCAGGAATTTGTTGCTTTCAGCACAGTGAGTGAGTGAGATCGCCGCGATCATAATTTCACAAAGCAATCGATAATAATTGACGCACAGTGCATGAAAAACGTATCAGCATTTAGTGCTTGAACAGAGTTCGATGCTCGCAGCTTTCGTGCGGCGTTTCAGAAAGCACATGGCGGCTGAGAGCACAATGGCCGAGACTATGCAGCAGCACATGGAGGACATCGGCAGGAGCCTCAGCTGCTTTAGAGTTTTGAATGCAGTACTGCCTGGACTGACTGACTGCTCCTGAGCCTGTATTCTCTGATCAATGCCGTGGGCTCCGCCTCTGCCTCTGCCTCTGCCTCCAACTTTGGCTCTGGCTCTGACTCTGCAGGCTTGCAGTCGCCTTCTCGTTCCTGCAGCTCGGTGGTTGAGCGAGAGCACTGCAAATGGATATTTCGTCTGCCTGCATGCCTGCACCGAGCTTTGGGTATGAACTGCTGATGGAGCGTCGATCGATTTCGAACTTATTCCGTGCCACCGAGGCTGTTAATGTGCTCGAGCCGTTTATGATCTGCGGGATTTACATTCACTGAGCGAGCTGCGATGGTTTCCGTTCAACCATCTGCTAATCTGAAGCGCGACGATGGCGTGATGGGCTCTCGTAGTCGATCAGTCAACAAGATCTGACTGCCACTCGAGAAGCGTAATGCCCGCATTAGAAACCATCGTTAACTCGGGACATCATTCCTTCCGCGAATCGAGCGAATGGCTACCATAGATCGCCTACAGGAACTCTCTGAGCAAGTCGAGATTGACAGCGATGGTTGTTCGGATGAGTGGACACGAGCAAGGCGATGGAGATTGCAGGCGATCTTCAAACTACAAGTTCGAGACAGGCCGAAGGACTTTATTATCCCTTGGCGAGACGAGGTGAGACGAACTGACTGATTCCAGTCCAAGGGCGAGCACCGTTTGGACGTGACTGTTGGTTGGTTGATTGATTGATTAGCGCGGGGCTGGTGCTCATCGACCGCAAAATCGAAGACGATGGGCGTCCAACTTCTCGGTCCGAATTCCGGTTCCAGCGCAAACACTGGATCGTGCCAAGGAATGATCGGTGCTATCCAACACGGAAAATCTGCTGCCGAAAACTGCCGCTGGCTGTTCTGATCTCGTAGTGTAGCTAATGGATTGAATCCATATGGACCGAGAGGATTCATCGTCGTGAGAAAATCAGAAGCACTTTCTCGTGCTGCTAATTCTCGCCATGGCCGGCCGTGAACGGCAGACGGGGAAGCTCGCACCGAATCGAGTGACGCCCGATGCGGATGATTTTTCTTCTCAGAAAGATCGACTGGGCAGCATGGATGAAGATGAGGGCGTTCCGCGGCCGAAATTTGACCTAAGCTCGACGAAGAAACAGGCGGCGGACAGCGCGACCATCGGGGCTCGAGCTCGTCCTCGTCCTCGTCCTCCTGCGCATCCTTCGACGGATGCAACGATCGTCTCGATCGACTTAGCCCCTTCTTCCGCTTCCGCTTCTCCTCCCCCTTTTCAACCGGTAATCGTCCACGACGGGCTACTGAGAAAGCCTTCGGCGCCGCAAGCCCAACCCCAACCCCAAGCCTCGGGATTGGGCTTGGGCTTGGGCTTGCGACAACCAACGGCGCAGCAGGTGAACGACGACTCGTCGGTCTTGGGCTCGGGCCTGGGCTTGAGCTCCGGACAGAGCCCTGCTGCAGCCCCCGACCGCGGTCGTGACGGTTCTGGCTCGGCCGTCGACGACGACCCGGGACTGCCGACGACGGTCGAGTCCCTCGCGGGCGACGACAGAAGAAGAAGCACACGCTCTTCCGTTCGAGCGCCCCATGGACTCCTCAAGAAATTCTCGCCCGAAGCGATCGACGCCGCCGTCAGATCTAAGCCCCTTCCGCCGTCGCCATCGCCGTCGGACAGCCTCCCCGAGCTCGAGCTCTCGAGCGCGAAGGACAGCAGCCCCTTGAGTCCAGCGATGGCGGCCAGGAGGAAGATCAGGGGCCCGGGGCCGAAGCCCGGAGGAGTGCTGGACATGGACGAGCCCAAGGGAGTGCGAATCTGCGTGCTCGGGGTGGGCGGACGAGTGCTGTACCTCGAGGCGTACAAGGATTTCGTGGACCTGCTGCTGAATTTTCTCACCATGCGCACCGGGGCGCTGATCAAATTGCTCCGGCAGGTGGACTTGCCTTCAGACGAGGAGCTTGGGATGCTGAAGGTCTACGACAGCCTCTCGAAGCTCGACAGAGCCTTGCTGACAGTCGACAAAGACGTGCTCCTGGATCCGGTGCAGAAGCTGAATTTGGCCAAAGAGCTCCGGGCGCTCGACAGCTTCGAAGCCGAGTGCTGCAACGCCGAGTGCCCCAAGTACATGGCCGGCTCTCGGCTCGTCTGCCGAGGCTGCACGCTCTCGAGCCATTTCAGCTGCAGCATCTGCAATGCCTACTTCCGCGACAATGTGCACGCCACCACGTGCTACGCGCCCTGGCGACCCTGGAGCTCGCATGCTTCGGCCGCCCCGGTTCTCAATCGCTACACCGTCGTGCAGAGCATGGGAGCTGTGCCTCCTCCTCCTGCTGCTTCTGCTGCGGCGGCATCGCCGAGGCCTCGAGCTGCTCGCGATGGATTTGTCAAGAACGGCGTCCCGTTTATGATCACGAATGAGCTCACTCTCACTCCCCTGACGACACGAAGCATCGCCAAATTCTTGAAAACTCTCAACGATCTGGATGGCGAGACGGAGAGCCTGGATTGCCACGAGCTCATGATTGGCAAAACAGAGGTACCCGACCCACGCCGACCCATGCCACTGTCAATCAGTCCAATTAGTAATCAATCGGTCGAATGGTGCGCGTTCCTCTGCAGGAAGTGAGTGAGCTTGATCGGGTGGCCGATTGCAGGTGGTGCTTTTGCTGGGAGCCGCCATGACCTCGCTCACGCCGCTCACGGACGTGTTTGCCAAATTGTGCCATTCTGAGAATAAGATTTCGGGCTCATCGACCTTCTCGTCGGAGGGTTTGCCATCTCTGAGCGGAGGCCAATTCGCTGCGCGTTCTGACACCACGACGAAGCTCGCCCCAAAATCCGGGCCTCGGCTTGCGTCCATGGCCAAACCTCTCGGGGACTTGATGACCTTCGTGCGTCCTTTGGCATCCGGCTTTGCCGATGCTCTTCAGCAAGGGACTTCTGCAGCTCTGCACGGACTCAGCGCCGAGGCTCAGCACCGAGAAGCTGCTGCTGCTGCTGCACTCGAGGTATCATCCGGTGCACACTAGCTTTGCTGTATTACAGACATTGACAGCCAGAGCTTGTGACGTCATCCGACCTCATCAGGTGCTCGTACCATTGTCATTCTGTCTGTTCTGCCTGCCTGCCTGCCTGCCTGTCTGTCTTGTCTCCAGAAGCAAGGGTTTAATCAATTACCCCACACCTCTCTCATGGACTGTAGTGCACACTGTGGTCTGCGCGCAGAGCTTGAATGCTGTGGAAGACAAGTCGCTAGCAGCCGCAATCAGGAAGAAGACAATAGCACCATCCTCATCTGCACCAGTAGCTACCACTTCGACTCAAGCTGTGAATCCAGAGGTAAATCTCATCCAATCCTGTTCGTGCCCTGCGAGCAATGCAATAATTGCTCGGAGGGTAGGTCAGAGTGACATCTGAAGGTGGCTATATAAGGTGACACTTATATCGATTTCATCGTTGACAAGCTTTGCTGTGGGGCAGCAGCACGGAAGGAAGCGTTGTAACCAGCCCGTGCGATTGTTTCATGACAGAGATTTGGTGTCTCCGTGTGCAGATGCCGGCCGCCGCAGAAGACTCAAACCCTGCAGCAGCTGCTGCAAACGAGAGGACACGAGAATCAACGGGGTCCAGGACGGGACTCTCTGTGGGCCATCGGCAAATTCAGGGCCCAGCTGCAGCTTTTGCTCCGCTAGAACCTGTGCAAAATACTTTACCACAACGACAGCAGAAAGACCTTCTGCCCCTTCCTGCTGCTGCTGCTGCTGCTGCTGATGACCAACCTGCACAGCTAACAATCCGTCGAAGGTCGTCGGGCATCGTAGCGCCGCAGTCCATCTTCTTGCAACCGAGCGCGAGTGAGGGACCGCCGAGTCCAGCGTCGTCATCACCTTCAGGATCGTCGACGCCACGACGAGGATTCTTAAAAAAGTTTTTTAGATCCAAAGTAGTTCAGTCACCAAAAATTCCATCGCCACCTTCGCCGCCTGTAACTCCTCCGGTCCTGGTCACGTCTGCGCCTACAGCTGTAGCAGCCGACGGGTCGATTTCTCCAGACCATGAAGGCATCGAGCTGCCCCCTGCCGCATCAGATGATCCAAAACCATCGGTCGCTGACGATGATCAGCAGCAACCTTCACCTCCACCTTCTCCATCTCCATCTCCATCCTCGACTCCAGCTCCAAAGAAGCGTCGAGGATGGTTCAAAGGCATCGAGCTGCCCCCTGCCGCATCAGATCATCCAAAACCATCGGCTGAGGACGATGATCAGCCGCAACCTTCACCTCCACCTCCATCTCCATCTCCATCCTCGACTCCAGGTCCCAAGAAGCGTCGAGGATGGTTCAAATATTTGGCACCGAATTCAGCTGCCCCACTTTCCAAGCCGAGCCAGCTTCGAACGACAAAGCTTCCGGACCCACCACAATCTCCGTTACCAGCTTCAGCTGCCCCACTTTCCAAGCCGAGCCAGCTTCGAACGACAAAGCTTCCCGACCCACCACAATCTCCGTTACCAGCTTCAGCTGACACACTTGCCATGGAGGACGAAGAAGATTCCTCGGTCACGTCCAGGAAATTCGATTCAGTCGAATCGGCTCACGGGCCGGCGAAGGATGATGGGCATGATGAGCAGGAGAACTCAGCGGAAAGCACAGAACTGAAATCGGATTTCGAGCAGAAATTTGCGAATCGTAAACCACCCCCTTCAGATGATTTTTCTTTCGAACACAGCGGTTTTCAGTGAAGGAAATAAAGGACACCCGGACTGCGAACATTTCAACTCACTCATCGAAACATTCACCACCGAGTTTCTTCTTCTCTTCCCATGACTCGTCCACGAGGTTAGACCAGTTCAATCTCCAGCCGATACCAGACGATCTCTGTACTGTACAACAATCATCTGAACTGATTGCTGCTAGGCTACGCCTACGGAGCTTATTCCGTCTGAAAACCCTGACGCCAGTGTACTGTCCTGTCAGTCCTTGACCCGATTCAGGCAAATTCTTTCTAGACTGCAAGCTCCAGCCAGACCCCGAAGTGGGTGACAACATTCACCTGTAGTCTGGTCCTCGCCCATACTACACTACTGCACCCGACCGTACCGAATGAGCATAAGCATGAGCATAACCATGTCCCACCTGGCCAAGTTACGGCGAGAAGCGAAGTCCTCGTACATGCATTTGACCTTGACTCAGGAACATATTTCACTAAACCCATAAGTCCAGAACACTTGCAGGTTTGGACTCTCGGCCGGCCCCATCAGCGTAATTGCCATGACTGGCTGCAGGGAATGTAGGCCAAATCGGAAAGTTTGCCACTTTGACACGAGCGTCACTGTCGGTCACCTCCCGGGGAGAAAATCTAAACAAAGGAATTAATGAAGGCATGTGGAGCTGACGGGAAGATGGAAACAGCAGTTGCTGATTAACTCTAGTGTAAATGAGGCCATTTCTTGAACTTGTGTGTAATTCCTATCTAACCGATTTCTGCAACATGTACTGCCCACAACAAACTCTTAACTGTAATATATCGTAGTCGGTTATAATCGGCTGTCGGGCATACAACAACTACTCGTGGGACTTTACAGCAAGATGCGACGAGTTGTCCAAAATCACTGATACAAGGGCATAACTGCAGTCTGCAATTTGGGCATCGATGTCAATAATCACAGATACGAAGTAAATAACTTGAGTCTGTCAGCTGGCTGCGCATTGAGGGAGTTGGGGACTGATACTGAAAGGCTGCATATCCTGAAACTGCAGCAAAAGCTAGCCTCTCTTGACTGATGAAGTAACAACTGCACTTCGAGTTCGCCGAATGACTCTTCTGTCCTTGAGCCAGCTTTGACCGGCTTCGAGCTGGCAGTGGAAACGCGTTCGCTTGGGTCTCGGGTGGGTCTGATGCATCGGAGAAACTTCTGACATCTCATCTCATTGTGCGGTCCTTTTCTAGAGGCTGATTGTGAAGAGTAGATGGCGCTCAATCGTCCAGGAGATCTTCCAGGTGCTTGGCATGACTGACTCCACACTGCTTAAAGTGACACTCCCTGAATCCAATCGCGTCCGGAATGCTTCTGAAGCCGACGTGACTGTCATCACGTCAGAGTGTAGGAATCCAAAGCACGGCGCGAGAGTGCATTCAAAGGCAAGTGCCGAGATGACGCAAAAGCACTCAGACGGTGGAAGCAAAGGGCATCAAAGATTGTGAATCGTATAGGTACGCAAACCTTTATTAAGTAGAATCCCGTGACAATAAGAATTCGGTGCAACCTCTCCTGTGGAAGAGATTCGTGACCTCAGCAGATAAATGACTATAGTGTTGAGAGCGAATTATAACTTAAAATTGAAATATCGAATCTATTCTGGCGCTGCCAGGCTGATGGAATGTTATTATACAGCTATGCTCGTCCACTATGTATCTCGAGTACAAATGATACGAGAGTTTATCTTCGTGAAATGCATGTCCTCAAGCAATACGTGCCTAAGATGGAGGAGGCAGATAATCTCTTCAACCCCTGGAAATTGAGCAAGGATTGTCTCTAAGCGTTACTGACAGCCGAATTTTCCTAGCAGGACCTACAGAATAACTCAACCGTGGGCACTCGCGGCAGTACAGCTGTTAAACGAAGGTGACGACTTGATCCTGAGAACAGTGCCCCCACCAGCGGAACTTCGTGTGAGCAAATACGTTGTGCTTGCCGAAAATTGCACGAAGTTCTAATATTCGTGCAACAGTGACCAACAGCCACGTGAACAGGGAGGACTACCTCCTGACATGACCGGAACCGCCATCCTTTATCATCTATTGTCTGAGGCTCTCGACGATATATTGAGCGTACAGATCCCTGCAACACAATCCATCGCCTCGTCAGTTTCCTCCTCGCTTCGATGAAAATTGGCCCGACTTCTCGAACCCTTGACCTTGACCTGTACCTTGACCTTGGCATTCTCACACGAGGGTTTAGGTCTACTTACATCGAGTGGCTGATAGCTTCTACAGCATGCTCGGCACCCATGAACTGATCAACAGCCACTTCCTTGTTCTCGTTCTTCTTGTCTTCGGGTCCTCTGTCAAGGTCACGTCTCGTCCTCCAGAACAGCTTTCCGAATTGTACCAGAAAATAACACATCTAGTTCACAACTGCGTCCTAATTACTCATTACTGCCAGGTCAATGGACTCTTGCGCCACAGATCTTATTATGACTTCGGGCCTTGATTCCTCGACAATGAACCGAATGAATGAATGAATAAATAGAGCTCATTTCATGAAGGATACAGTCCTCGAAAAAGCGACGAATTTCAGCAAGTCGGTGGGGTGCAAGTTCCTTGATGTCAGTGTAGTGACGGTACTCAGGATCGTCCGCGCAGACCGCGATGATCTTGTCGTCCTTCTCGCCCTGGCAATTCCATGTCCACAGACGTTCCAACCTCGTTAGCATCGACCATCCGGTGACAATCACAGGGGGTGCGCAACGAGGAAGGTGGCGATGGAGCCTCTTCCTTGCGACCTCATCCGAACGAGGCTTTGGCACGACGAAGCAAAGCGAGCTGTAAATGAAAATTGGCAGTCGGACGACGGCGGCGGAACGAACCTGATCGATCATGGGCATGAGTCCGATGGCTTTCGCGCGCAGGAAGCAGCCTGGAAGAACAGGTTCCTGAGCTCAAGAAGAGATGCAAAGATCAGGCGAGAGCAGACGAGGGAGAGGAGAATGGGGCAGCGAGCCAAGAAGAGCATCATCGGGGCCGGTAGAACAAAGAACAACCTACGAGCGTACCTGCATCAGGACGAGAACGTCCATGGGGTCGTTGTCTTCGCAGAGAGTCCTGGGGATGAATCCATAGTTGTGCGGGTAGACCACCGACGAGTAAAGCACACGATCGACCTTGATGAGCCCACTCTTCTTGTCCAGCTCGTACTTGACCTTGCCACCTTTCCCGATCTCAACAACCTGCGCTCCCCAACGCAAACGAATCAGCGAGCTTCCAACGAAACGACTGCTGGACTGACATGACAGCCCCACAGCTACAGCTCGCTCCCTGCCTCCCTCCCGAGTTCAGGATGCAATGCATCGACAGAGCGAAACATGCGGGCATCCATCTAACAAATCGGAAATTCGAGGGCCGTGACAGATCCGCATATGTCGCAGGAGATATTTATTGGCATCTAGCGCGTCCGCACTCGAGCTCGATGCGACGTGATGCGCCGTGACAGCACTCCAGGTTAGATTCATAATTGCGTCGATCACATTCCACGTGGAGAACGAACAGATCTTGCCTGCAGTGATGTCTGCGGTCTCCAGGGTAGATTCCGACCCAATCCATGCGAGCCACGCGTCCGCGCGCAGAGTCGCCATTATGGCAGCGGTCTGTTTGGGCACAAAACCCAACCCCATGCTCGAGACGAGATCTTGAACTGGCTCCCTTCTTTAAAACCGCAACGAAGAAGAAGAAACTACGCCATGACGATGAAAAGGCACAGACACAGAGAGAGAGAGAGCGAGAGAGATGGAGCAACAGCAGCAGTGGATCGACCACATTCAGCTCCTGTGTTGCTCCAGGGGGGGGGCATATCATCAGGGCGTGCCGGGGGCTTACCATGTTGAAGATGGTGGGCGCATCAGGACCTGCGCATCATGCAGACGAATGCGACAAGAGAAGGGCTGTTAGACGACATAGACGACGACGATCATTGCGTGCGGTCGAGAAATCAATCAAGAAGTCAATCATGTCAGACGACAGGACAATTTCGCACCAGTGCGCTGGTCAATTTCCCCCGAGGGGCAACCGAGCAGCAGCAGACGAAGAAACGAAACGAGGCGAAGCGCATTCCATTCCAGGGCATTGCATTCGAGGCGTACCGATTTCCAAATCGTGCCAGGGGTGCGCGGCGACGGATCGTCGCGACATGGAAGTCATAATGCGCTTGCTGAGGGAGGTGCTAGCAATGCGCGGATACTTGAGCGGGTGCAGGGCGCCATTGGGCTTGCTGGCGGGGGCTGCGGGCGCCGCATCGGGCTTGCCGGCGCTGAGCGACCCGTTGGTGGGGCTGGAGGCGACGACAGCCGCATCGCCTTCGTTGGCCATGGTCGCCGGCTCTCCCAGATCTGCTTCCTTCGCAGCGGCGCTTCCGTCCGTCGCTCGCGGCAGCTGCACCAGCGCCTCGTCCACGCTCTCCGATTCTTCTTGCAGCACGCACAGCAGGCCGCTCAGCGCGGATTCTTGGCCCCGCGAAAATCCTGCGACACCACCGACCAATTAAATTAATTGCTCGTTCGTTTGCCTCTCCGTTCGTCAGGCACAGCTTCTGGTGTCAATTCTGTGCGACATCGATGCCTCGGACCTTCTGACTGATCTCCGCAAGCGAATCAATCAAATCACATCTCATCAAATCGAATCAAAACCGCAAGCGAAGTAATTCTCTCTCCCGCGCATTTCCCGACACCATCTCCGCTACTTGCATTCCGAAGGCAAGACAAATTGGCCACCGGCACAGATGCAAAAAGCAACCCCTGAAGTCCGAAGACAGACGTCCAAATTTCATGCAATTTCGAGGGGGTCGGGTCTTGAAGAACCTCAGCAATCGGGGAGGGAGGGAGGGAGGGATGCACGGCTATCTAATGTGGTAGCGCTCTGACGGCTGGAAGCATGAGCTCGGAAGTGCGAGTGACAGAATCATGAACGGAGGAAGAGGAAGCAGCAGGATGAGTCAATTTGCGAAAGAAAAAATGCAATGGCAACCTCGGACGTCAGCAGAGCCTCCGAGCACTCCCATGTCCGGAGTGACAGACCAGGGTCACAGAAGAAGATGAGGAGGAGGAGGAGGAGGAAGAAGATGAGTCGCGACGCGGAGGGGGGGGCACACCTAAGAAGTGGAGCAGACTTCTTGCCAGCTTCCGTCTCGAAGCACTCGGGGTGGGCAGGAGGTGTCCGATTATGAAAGGAGTCAAGGAGTCGCGTGTCTGCCTGCGGGATCCAGATGCAAGGAAGGAGGGCTCGCGCTGCTCAGACAGACAAACAGACTCTGACACCCACTCAGTCAATAAGCTGCTGCAACTTGCTCACTGAAGAGAGGCGAGGCACGCGAATAAATGCTAAGCAGAGCCGAGGGCCGATGCTCGGCTGGGACACTTTCCCTGGAAATTCGATCCTCAACGAACGGAAGGTCGAGTACCATCGCCAGCATATGCCGCAGAAGCTTGGACAGCCTTCAATCGCTCCACTTCAAAGAGTCATGCTCGCATGCTTCCCTCCCCCCGCACACCGGCCAGCTGGAGGCCCCCCCCCCTGCCTGCAGTGAAGTGCAGGCCCCGCCTCTCGCTCGCCGCTACGCAACGCAGGCGCCAGTACGTGCTCTCGTGCCAAACAAACCCCCGACCCCAAGCCCAGCCCCAAGCCCAGCCCCAGCCCGCGTCGCTTAGCTCAGCCGAGCGCACCCGGGTCCAGCCGGGCCAACGTCCAGCCATGCCTGCCAGCCTCAGCACAGCCAGCAAGCAAGCTCGACGCCACGCAGATCACCGGAGCCACAAACCGCTACCACCGCCAAAAAAAGCGAAAGCCAAGCCCAAAAGCGATCCCTCTCGATCGCGTTCGTTCTTCCCACGCCACATCCAAATTATCGTTTGCTGCCCCCGCAGACCGACGGACCAACGAACGAACCTGCTCCGAGCCTGGGCCGAAGCTGACCGTGGTCGAGGCTCGCGACGTTGCGTCGCAATCGCGCCGGAGGAGTTCGGGTCCAATCCCGACCCAGGGCTCTGACGTCGTTCGTTGAAGGCTGTCGAAATCTGATCGTCGGGACCTCCGATGACGTGTCGCGCTGAGTTTCCGGGCACCGGTTGTCGACTGTTGGGGCTCATTTCCGGGTCGCGACATTCGTCGTCGTCCTCCCCTCGGTTCGGACACCATCGTCGGGCTCACCATCGTCGCCGCTACTGCATCCGACGACGACGACGGGCTGAACGGGTCCACGCCGACCTCGACCCAGCCAGCCACCGAACTTCACACCGGCTCGACCGGTAGCCCCGCCCACACAATAGGTAGAGGACAGTTCTCTTCTTTAATCGCAACGAGGGCTCGGGAAAGGAAAAGCGTCCTTTGTTTGTAGCCCGATGCGCTGACGACATCGCCAGCTGACCCGATACGACAAACGGATCGGGGGCCTTCGACCAATCGTGTAGCGCTGCCGGGACCCACAAGTACTGCCACATCGGCCGTATGAGACACGTCAGCGAGCTCGGAAAAACGGGACGTCCGAGGTCGGGCTCAGATCATCTCACGTATGCGGGTGGGGAATACGGATATGCCGTGGAGATTCCGGCGCCAGTTCCCATATACGTGGATGGACGGGCCGGCGGCCATTCAAACGGGTGGACGCACGACGCTAGCCACCCTGCCTGGCTCTGCACCAAGCTTGCGGAATCGCGTCTAGGCCCGCGTCGCTTTTGGACATGCGGCTGGAGATTCTGACCGGACGGACGGACATGCCGCCGCCGAATCGTAGTGCTTATATCACGTTCTTGCAGCATCCTGTCCTAGCGTGTGCATGCATGAAACGTCAGGCCGCACGCCGATCGTACCGGGCAGCCCCACTTCCGCCACCCTCGGCCCGGTCCACCGGTCCAAATAAGTCCGTGTTCCCACCGGGGAAGGGGCTGGATAAAAGACCGAAGAAACAAGACCCGGGCGAGTGGGCACGAACGCTCATGGGCGTCGCAGCAGGTGCACCGGTAGCAGGGGCCGCCAGGAGACCCCAACGGGGCGGAGAGTCGGGGGGCGAGGGAATATGCAGGCGTGACTGTGTAAGCGCATTCGACCCACATCTCCAGGAGCCCCCCATTGATCATGTCACGCAAGTGCCAGCGACATGCACGCGACATTGCGGTTCGCAGAGCTTGCGGACGAGTCCCGTACAGTAGGACCGGTGCAGCAGACCGGGGCGACCGGGGCGACCTACGTGTCCATCATGTACCACAGTCGGACGACAGCCCAGAGGGCAGACGGAGCCCCCGTGGGCCGGTGGCATAAGGGACGCATTCGCGCGGCACTCTGCCTACATCTGTGGACGGCATACGGCAGAGTTTCCGTGCATTTCACGAGCCCGCCCGCAGGTTGAGCTTCGACTCCGTCCGTTCCCGACACACGACGCTTGTAAAACATTGCCAGGCTGCTGCCGAGGCTCCCGGTCGACTGACCGGAACTCTTTGGTACGTGTGAGTGGGGACGCATTTCGCCCACATCTCCAGGACGAGGCGTCAGTGAGGGAAGAAGGGTCATGTCCTTCATGTGCGAGCGAGCAGGCGACTAGACTTTATTAAAGTCAAATGCTCGGCCTTGAAGTTTTCGGTCCACCCACTTCCTTAGCCCCGACTTGACTTGACTTGCCCCCCGCTCTTCTCAGGTCGGTGTCGTGTCGGACCTGTTCGGAACCTCGTTGAACCGGACAATGTCCATCTATCATTTCCTGCGGGGTCCCAGGGAATTTCACTGTCCCACTGTTGCTGCCTGATGATTCATTCCTTAAATGGTTGTGATGCGCAATTAGCTGTCAGTGATTACATCGACGCGAGACTGAGTTCGATTTTCCGCTCGATCCAAGCCTCCGGTCCAACACTCGAATCATTTGTACTGCCGGTTTGATTATTGTAAAGTGGGTGCCGGGTCATATGGCGAAAAGATGTAAAGGGGTCTGGAGAGTGGAGAAATGTTTCTTGCTTCTTGCTTTAGAGTTTTAATAATATGGACCTATAACCGCATGATTGGACAAGTTCAAGTTGCAATGCGCTATACTCAACGCTTTTCTGGCACGAGTCCATAGTGATACCCTTCTTTTATCACCTTGCGTACTTTTTTAACCTACTGAAATACAAATAGCATGGATTGTTTAGTTGTAGAAGAATAATCATGTTATATGATGTGTAACTATTTATATAGTTGTGATGAGTAAGTGTGCTTGTGTATGAGAAGTTACAAACTTTAAAACCAATAGTGTAATTAGCACCAAGGTTATGATATGGCTAGTATGACCAAATAATGACATTAGTAATCTTCAAATATGTTGGTATGACAACATTATTTTGGATTTCAAGAATAATGTTATTGGTATGTTCAAAAGCATCAATACGATGACATATTCAAGATATATTGAAATCTGCATTCCATATGAAGGAATTGAATAAGTATAAGAGAGTATTCAAGATGGTTTTTTACAGATTATTTTAAAAAAATGTGTCAATCAAGTCAACTCCTAATCATGTGTGCTTCACATATTTAACATGGCAAACAACTAGTCCAAAAGTTCAAAAATTATTGAGTCTGATCTGAATAATTTTCTATATTTCATAAAAATCACATTTATCTCAATGTGTTATGATTTGTCATACCATACTACTTCGCATGTACATCTTGCGCTCGCATCTACATCGTTATCACTCTTGTTCACGTCTCTCATCTTTGTCCGTCATATCCATCACATATTTCCAAACTCTCACATTGAACAATCTCATACTTGATTTATTTTGATTCGTCATTTCAACTAGAAATCAAAAAAATCCTCCAAAGCTATTTGGATTGATTGCTAACTCTCATACCAATTTTTTTGTCCACAAAAAACACATGTATTATCACTGTGGACAATTTCCACGGAATTATTACAAACTTTACTCAAAAAAAATCCATTTTTGTCTTACTAGGAGTTTCAATAAAAAAAAATATTATATTAACACTAGTTTAATTGGAATCAAATTAACATGAGTCAATCAAAACTTGAAGTAAATCCAAATTTCTATAAAATCTGTACTTATATTTCTTCAAAATAAGATTTTATAGGACAGGATTTAATATATATATTAAATTTTTATTTTTCATTTTATGTTAATATTCATCTATTTAATCAATATATAATCTATCAAAAAAATTGAATATCTCAAAAGACATACAACTTATTTGATACTCATTTTTTTATGATGGAATCATTCTTCAAGAGTCTCAAACATTAGAGTAAAATCATCATTGTCACTCACATGCTTCAAAATCTAAGAATTCAAATAACATATAATAATAACCTTATCTTGCTCCCAAAGATATCACCAATCGATATCAAAAAGATGGACGGTTTAACTCTCAGCATCTTACTTATGATAGTAGTTTTCACTTCCAAAGCAGATAATGGTCATACTCATCTTATTAGAAAATTTTATTTCCTCTATGTGAATTTCTAATTCATATCAAACTTACATAGTTTATCATTTAAGTCTACTTTCAGGAGAACAGCTTAAGCTTTATTGAGAAAAAATTATGGAAGTGTCACTAAGAGCTTTCCTGAGCTCTTTTATATAATGGCAATTTAACAACTCTCAAAATGATGATTGAACCTAACATGATTTACTACAAGACGTGAGATAAATCCAAAAAGTTTATCTAGCATATATAAATGTAATTTAACTTTTTTTTATCATTGTATTATGAAATCGTATAATATATTAGTTTTTAATATTGTTAATCAAAGTCTTACCGCGGCTGCTGGCACGGAGTTAGCCGGGGCTTCTTCTTCGAGTCTTGTCATAATCGCATACTCGACGAAAGAGCTTTCTAGACGCCAAAATCGGTAGTATCACCCGATAAAACTAGTTACAATTCCAAAGATGTACATGAATATGTAAATAGTGAAGTTTTAAAATCTCTCGAATTTTTTGAAAAGTATAATATAAATAATTATTCCAGATTTCTCAAAATCATGAAAAGAATATATATATATCAATAGAGTAGGGTTCAATTTTTCCTTATGATACTTCCAAGTTATATACTCTCAATTTATTATTTCTTTGATTCAAAAATCAAGACAATCTTGCTCTCATTGAGTCCTGCTCTCATTTCCGCGCAAGAGATGATAGCAATAGATGTCAACAAATTTGTCAACAAGATGATATAGATTTGATTGTCCAAATCTAGTCTCCACTCTAAGTACACTTTTCAAATTGATCACAAGGTGTCAATGTATAGATATATAATCTGGTTTCAAAGTCATCCGATTCTTGGACTACAATATGCTTGCAAAAGAGCTCTGTAATCATATCATGGGCAACAGTTGTCTCACTCATACGAGTCAATACACAAGCCTCTAATCGTTTCAAAGCTTCAAATTATTAGAAGATATACCAGCACATGATTCATGTAATTGATGGTGTTAAGATTCATCTGCATAACAGTAGTCATGAAATTTTCGTAGACTCCCTTTGTATATGACTCGAGTAGATTCATGGCGACCATGAATTTTTTGGTGGTATTTTTTGTATTTAAGATTCACCAAAATCATTCACCCGTATGCTTCTTATTAGACCAATCACAATTTGGATGAAGAGTTAATAGTGAATGGTAAAGATTGTAAGCAAGAATGTGATTTCTGCCTGGACAGACAGGCAGATATCACGTTGAATATTTTGCCTTTGGTTGTTGCTCTTTATTCTCCTCTCCTTTTACTATCTTATTCTTTCATATACTTTATCACCAGAAGCTCAGTCTCAACGTCACACTAATTGCAAAAGCCTTTCTTTGAGAGAGTTACTTCTCAGCAGGAAAAATAAGTATATTGTATCATAATTATATAGACGATTAGTTAATGGATCTTTTATCACCAGAAATCTAGCCTTATTCGTGGACTGTTTGATACCATTAAGTATTACAGTTATGAGCAATAAATAGCATGCACAGCTGACATAGAAATATGTGGATAACCTCATCAATCATACTTGAAGGCAACTCACTAGTACATATATAGAGAATTGAGTCCGGTGTGTCTGTGATGACAGTGTGATGACAATCGATGACAAGTGCTACTGTTATGACAATCGATAATTGCTTTGGTACAGGAGTTATCATTTTTTTTATTGACAGCCTAATTATAATTAACCAAGACATGAAAGTAACCCCAACATCTGCGTGTGAACACGTGAAGTAAATGGTGAGGATGAAAAAGACTCAAAGGCGGGGGCTTCAAAATTGGGAGTAACTTTTTCATTTCTTTAGTTACTTCATCATTTCGCATTAGGGTAACCTCCAAGGTACTGTTTTGAGTTTAGTTTCGACTCCACGCTGTTCGAATGGCTTTCACTCATCCTTTATAGAGGATCTCGGTGCGTACGGTTTGGTTCGTAAAGAAATTCAAATTTCAGCCTCACGGACATTCAAGTAGCTGTACGTACAAACGTTATTCAATATAAAGACTCAAGACATTTTGAAAGGTAAAATCCAAGGGATTCTGCAGCTTGGGGACGAAGGAGAACGTTGTGAAACCAACAGGTGGATTGATGGTAGCGCACGAACAGCCGTGTAGTTCCCGTGAGGATTACCAATAGTGTGAGAACATGAGTTGATATAAAGAGATCAAGACATGACTTGTACTGATTTCCTCATATTCATCCGATAAATGCTATATCATGTTCCCAGTTGAAGTAGATTCGTTGCGTGTTTTTCACTACACCAATTAGCAGTGTGGGAGTACGGGTTACATAGCATGTAGCTACGTTACCCGCACATGTAGGACATTGCTTCTTTACTTTGAATTGCAAGTCAAGTGTCACATATAAGGCCAAAAAAAAAAGCCGGGACGCAAAAATATTGAGAGAACTGATGAATAAAAAAGGAAGAACATGTATAATTCTCAAACTATCGGAATTCACGAGGAATTGGACACACGTTCGCGTTTGGACCAAAAGTGGCCTTGTAATATTTGACAGATGAGGGAGATGACCGTCTACGCATAGGGCAAGAACGAGCCATAAACTTGAAGTCTCGGAGAGACGAGCATTTGTACAGGTCTAAGGCTAGACGAGAATCTCAACACACTGCATGCCTCAGAGGTAAAAGAACAAGCTGCAGCCTTACTTCACAACAAATTGGTTGACTCCAGTTACAAGTATCTGGACTCAACCCCAAACATCTTTCTTGGCAAACTAAGAAGGTGGTACAAGCCAACTTTAAAACTCGACTCGATCAACGCTCACTCGTTACGTCGCAAGAGAAATCCCTTAGGCCACATACCAGTCCAAAAAACCCAACCATTAATCAAATCACGAATCCCGTGACCGTCACCATCTACGTATAAGTCCGGAATCTAAAATCGCCTTCTGCAACTGCCAAAAGCCTCGAATCGAAAAGAATTTGCACCACACATAATCTGCAAAAAACCTCAAAACAAACATGCAAAAAGCAGATGTATCTATACCGACCTTTAACTTCGTGCCGATATCCGCACACAACCACTGATTACAAGAAGTCGGTAATTATCCTCCTTAAGGTGCATTCAACTCTATGCTCTAAATCAAAGAGCAGGGATCAGACTGAGACACTAGCAATGAATCCACATGGACACAAGCCTCCTTTGAAGATGAAAATCTGTCACGTTTACTTTTGGATCGAGAACGCTACTGCGTACAAAGCTGTAGGTTTTAGTAGAGGCCTAAAGACTGCGGTAATCAATCACGGTTACTTCATCTTCAGGAGCATCAAGATCGTGATAGCTGCATTACACCATAAGCTAGTCTTAGATCATCCCTGGATGTACTCGATATTGGTGCCACGTTTACTAGCGAGCAATATTTAAACTCAATACAACTGGGTTTCCCTCAGTGGATAATACCAGTAGAGAAACCCAGTTGTTTAGAGTTTGAACATTGTTCAAGAGAAGCACATATCCATCTTGATCAAACGACCATAGCTCAAATAAGAACTATCAAAACCTGGGTTCAATACGTAATGCATGGCTAATAGAAACACCGAATGGATTCCTAAAACTCGGACAATCTGGAAACAGGACGCTGGTGACTGCATCTTACAGAAACCCCACCGAACACATGGGTAAAGTTGCGAATCTTGCTGCTAACACATCAATATTGAGTGCTGAAATCTGCGTAAGTCCACTAAGAAATGCCGGAAATGATCGAAATAATTTCAAATTCAAAAGTCGGGACATTCGTGACATACCTTCGGACGTTTCGCGGGTCATGGCGGATGGACTGAGATAGAGGGAGCATCATGGGTGCATTATCCATCATACCCCCACCCATTCCATGCCCACCACTAACACCACCCCGTCCCTTGCGACCACGTGGGCCAGCACCACCACCACCTCCACCATTGCCCTCGGCCTCGAAGTTTCCGTCAAAGGCACCGGGGTGAAAAGGAGGTGGCCCGCCTTGTTCTCTTAACATCCTCATGGCCACCTCCGGCGGAGCTGGAACAAAAGGACCAAGTGGCCTATGAACAAAAAAGACAAGACCAGCTTTAGAAGCCTTGAAAGCATCTATTATGTATACTTTCATCCATGTAAAAGAACAGCGTTACGAGATCTGCCACAATCTTAACACAAGCACCGCGACTCCGAGGTGTTTCAACTTTCCAGTCAAGACAAGCTGGACGAGCACAAGATTTGAAGTACTGCTACTTGTTGTCCTTACCCTGCCCCAGGTACCGGCATTAAGACAGGAGGAGGTGGTGGAATGTCAGAACCAAATGGAGGACCCCTCAAAGGGGGACCACTGAATGGATCGAACATTGGTGTGTCAGAAGGGCCGCCTTCAAAAGGTCCTGCCGGTCCTCCGTCGAAGGCAGCCCCACCACCCATTGTGGCAAAATCTCTGCTCGGTGGAGAATGGTCACCTCCTCGATCATAACGCTGCTCCTCCTCGTGACCGACTCTATCCGACCTCTCATTCTCCCGGCCCCCACCTCGATCAAAGCGCTCGACACCATCACGTGGTCCTCTACTGGAACCAGCAAGTGGTAGAGCAGCATTTGGATTGCGTTCACTCGACATTCGATCCGCACCACCTGGGAAAGTACCCATCCCGCTAGCAGCAACCCCAGTTCTTCGTCTTCTATTCTTCTCTCTCTGTGTACAATAAATAACATATATACACACGTTGGTAGTAAGCAGAACGACCTTAAAAGTTTGAGAGCTTGTTCGGCTGAGCACCCACAACTAGGGATGCTAACGGTTAGGCTAACGGCTAGCCTAGTGGCAATAGCGCCGCAATCCGAAAATGCAGCCTCGATCCGAATCAGCGTTTTCAGCAGAAATTATCCCCTAAACCCTTATTTCGACCGAATATTTTGGTCGACTGCGTTTTCGGCCAACAGCCGATTGGCCAGCGGTTAGCTGACTAAAATTGAGGCCCTAGCCGGCTAGCCGATTATGTGACCATGCCTACCCACAACACAACAGTAAACACAGTACACTTTCAACTTGATCTAATTCGGTTCATGCAATTGAGATCTGATAGAAACTTCCTTACAGGTCCAGGCTGAGAAGTAAAGGACTGATTGGCTCCAGGGGCGTCAGCGTCGCTGTCAGAAGAAACAACGAAGAGTTATTTCTCACTTAGAGATATGCACATCCTTTGTCAGAACACCAACCATCGGTTACATACAGCTGCTCGCTAGTTAAGAGACATGCAGGGCATACTAGTGGCAGTGGAACGTTGCAGAAGTCAAGATTGACAAGCAAAGAACTACAACATGACATAGATGCCATTATTTAGCTTCGAGTCGAAAACCCAGGCGGACATAGATAGAGCTGCGTCCAAGAAGTTGAAGAGAACTGAAATAAAAAAGTAAACACGTACTCTACATGCAATTTTAGGAATCACTGAAAATTTCAAAAAATGGATCAAGCTCCAAGATAGCGTGCTCGACGCGAAGTCTCCCGACTTGATATGAGATTGCAAAACTTACTTCATGTAATTTTGAAAATACAATTCTTCACGTGCTTTCGCCACCACATCACTTACGAGCTCAGAGTGCTTCAGCTTTAAATGCTTATGCACATATTCTGGGCCGTGGAATAGCTTCGTACAGCCCTTGGCTCCACAACCATATTTCCAACCGTACTTTTCATCTCGAATTTTCCTCACAAAAGGATCCAAAGCTTCGTTCGCTGTCGCTTCAAGTTTGTCCCTACCGAGCATAGCCTCGATAAGATCTTGACCTTGTAATCTACTCTGCCACATTGAGTCAAGTTTCTTCTCCCAGTCAGCAGCTGCTACTTGCAGTGCACTTTCGTCTCCTCCTTTAGTTTCTGGCCCTCTCACGTGTCTCAGGCCTTTGGGGGCGTCTTTCAGCTCCACCATGCCGTAGTAATCGAGAGAATGAATGCGCCATAAGTACGTTAGCATAACGTCCATAAGTTCAAGTCCTTCCAGCCCTTTGACCTGGTTGGCACCTCTGATGATAACTATCGTGCCTAACGAAACGCCACTCATTGATTTCTCACCCTCTAGGTTCGAATTTCCAGAAGTAAGCAGTATATTGCCCTCGATGCCTTTTTCCGCATCAAGTTTCTTTATCAACGCGCGTGCTTGGTCGATGTCCTTAGGAACTCTTTTCGCATCTGCCAACGCTGAGGGAGCCTTCGGAGCCGCGTCAAACTCCCGATCTTTGGACAAACCACCAGGTTGTTTCCTCCTCTTCCCGTGGGCATCCACCTCTTCTTCAGACCCTGGTTCTCCTTCCTTGATAGCAGATTGAAATACGACGGCAGTTGGACCCCTGCGCAGCAGTTAGAACAACACACCAATATTTTAGTCTCTAATCAAGCATTCAAGCGACCAATCACTCTGCAAGGTCAGTCAGAGAAGTAAGTCTGCTCATCTAGAGGACTAATGACTTACACATCCAAGTTGCCTGCTTGCAAGTCCGTTTGAAAATCTTTCGCCAAAGTCTTCGCGTTTTCATTTCTCCTGAATTAATCAATGACACATAATCAGCATCTGAAGACAAAATAGACTGGCGGAAGAAGGATTCACTCAAGGTCAGATAGTCACCTCCTGAACGTTCATGCGTACCTCGTATTTAAGCTATCAATACATAACACAACTACCTAGTTGTGTTAAAATTGCATAGGTCAAAATTGCAGAAGACACTCAATGATAATTTCATGGAAACGCTTTGAGTGGAAGTCATAAGTATGAGATACAAAGGTGAAGAAAAATCTCGTGTAACAAAGTCAAACTGGACAATTCCTGAACCTAAAAAAAACTGTGTTCGCCAGAACCAAACCACGCCAAGACTCATCACTAATTAACTCATGATAGCGAACAATACAGCTGAATAACCAGATCACTAGCTGAAGAGACTGAATGAAGATATACCTGGACAAGACTGCCTCTAGTCGAGATGGATCATACTTCTCTCGCAGCCTGAATATTCATTACAGCCCAACCAGACAATGTCAACTTAAATAACAATTGCCTCAGCTGAAAGCAACCCGTACAGAAGCCATTACTGACCTGCCTTAGTTTGCTGGTATACAGGTAGACTGAACACATCAGAAAATGAAATCGTGACGAAGTTGCAGATCAAGGTGGACTCTCATTCATGACATCTAATCTAGTCTATAATGAGTAACAAACTTGACCTTAACAGGATCCCTGCTTACGGTAAATCAATGCTGCAGAAAGACCAGAGAAGAAATGGGTATGACATGACAGGAAAGAAAGATCCTCACCAATCATCATCCTTGTGTTGTTCAAAAAAGGCTCGCTTTTGAGTAGTAATGAATTCTGCCTTGTACTCCTCGTATCTGCGTATAAAACGAAAGACTTACGACATGTATATAAATGGGTAGAAAACCCTGCAAAACACAGAGCATGAGACTCCTGGACTTGAAATGTAGGTAATAGGCTCTACCTCCGCTCTGCTTCTGCAGGCAAGATGTCGTCTTCCAGTTCAGCAATAAACTGTTTGTAGGACATTAATCCCTCCCTGTACAACGAAGCATGTGTACAACCGAGCGTTAAAACTGAACTTTATTACTTCCAAGCAAGCGCAGCCTAATTTTACGGCCTCGCAACAGAGCTGCGCATGTGTGTCAAAGATTCTTCTAAGACTCAGTCCACAGGTGCGTTAAGTATTCTGTGAGCTTAGTTGTTGAGTCCAGATTATAGACTTCGGCCATTCCAGCGAAAAACTGGAAGTTCACCGAAACAAAATAAACTACAAATTCTGAGCAGTAAAACATAAGTGGTTAATATAAAGCCTATGGGCAATCAGAGCAGAGAGAACGATAACAATCCTCCTGCATTCACAAACTTCAACAAACCTGCGAGAAGGCGGGCCGCCATACATGGTTGAATATGGACCGTCGCTGAATCCCGTGCGCCCAGGTCCAGGCCAGTCCGCTGTTGAAGAAAAGAAAGGAGAATTATACTACGACTCAGTGCTCTGATCTGCATGGAAAACGGATTACATGATTTGACACAACAAAAAGATTTGAACTAAGTTCGATTTCGCAACTGACCAGGCGGACCACCATGGAAGTTCGAACGAGATCCTCCATGACGCCCCTGCCCTCTTTCGTCTCCACCATATCCACGACCTCCTTGACCTCCTCGGCCATCATACGGGCCCATGCCGTCATAGCCATACCTACATACCGTATGTACCGATCAGTCGAGTCTACAGTCTCCTATGTTGACCAGGCCGTGTTCCAACTTGAAATAACAATTAGCATGTCTACAGAACCGGATCAGGTTTTGCATTCCAAGCAAAAAGATATTCACAAGCCACGAGTTGCAAACGACCAGAGCTCCCGCATCTTAAGAACCCATCTGTGCAGAATTGAATTCTAAAGTTAAACTTCAAGTTCGCACTAAAAGCCTGTCAAGAGGAACAAGAATGAAATGCAGACATGCGCAAGCTTCATAAAAACAAAGGTAATAATTCAAGCAGTCTCACAGTGGACCAAGAAGACAAAAACATACACAGGGCACGGCTCCTGATTAGGCCCAAAAAAATTGAGAGCCTTCACCAGGTCAGGTCGGTAGCTTGGCACCTCTCATTGCTCTTGTTGGGCGCCATGCTCTCTGATCGTCCTAATGTCTGCTTAGGTAGTGACAGCCAAGACTGATTCGAATTCAGCGACGATGCCACTGGCTGACTATTATCCGTCTCCAGAATATGGCCAGATGAAAGACTACTCTCCTCTAATTCTCTCCCTCCCATTCTCTCCTGATTGGATCGACAATGAGTGTGATGTTTGACCGGTGTCCTCGCACTAAGAAGACAAATGTCATTCGGAGAACATTTGTCTTCCTTGCTAGTCACTCAAATTACTTTCAGAGGAAAGCAGGCAACTGCTTGCCGTGGAGCCACATCATGATGGGCACGAGAAAGAACTAATCTTATATTCACAATACGATCAATGTGAGCCTCGTAGAGGAGGAGAGGGCCTCTCACAATATCAAGTGATCCAAATGCCTGTATCCACATCGAGGAGTCAGTGCTTGACTATGCACCCAGTTCCTATAAGCCTGCAAGGACAACATTGCTAAAAAAACGAAGAGTTGTCCTCTACAGCTGGAAGTTGACAATATTTAGGCCTGAAAATGAATGGATATCAACCAGCCCATACACACGCAACCCCTGCCTTCCATACTCGCGCACAAAAATTGTCAGGACCCAGAAGGCAAACATAGTTTGGAAAAGCAAGCACGGGAATCCGTGAGATCCAGAAATGTCTCGTGATGAGAGAAAGTTCGGGAGAAAAGCGACCAAGAATTCCGAAGAGCTAAGGCACAGGTTACCGAATGGTGTAATCCTAAACGGCGACGACAGTGCATGCACCTTCCAGGAGTGGGCATTGTGACGAGAAAGACCCATGGCACTTTGACAACTCCCAGTGACAACATACCGATGTGTAGGTTGGTTCACCGCTACATGCATTCGGTATTCGGACCACTTTCGAAAAAGCATCGCGTTGCTATAACGATCGGGACGACTCGCCAAAGGAAACAGCTGTGGTAGTCTAAGAGAGGCACGATGTGCATGCGAAATATAGTCCTACCCAAGGATAGCCATAAAATCAACTTCAAATGTTAGGCATTTAGTGTAGAGACAAGGTAAAGCTACCTACGATCACCGGAAAACCCCGAAGCTCTTCCAATGTCATCTCCAGCACCAGGGATGACTCGAGGTGGTGAGCCCCGTCGGGCACCATCACTCTCGTCATCCCTTCGCGACCGCTTATAAGGAGGAGATCGTCGCATGGGTGGAGAATGACGTCGATCCCGGTGGAATGGAGGAGGACTAGGGCTTTTCCGACGCTTGTACTCCCTATCTCGCTCCCGGCGCTCAGCTACAGTCCCTCCTTCCTGACCAGCCCTTCTCTCGTGGTGCTCACGTCGTGGTGGTCGATCGTCTCTCTCACCTGCGGGTCGCTCTTCTCTGCGTTCACGCGGTTCTCGATCACGTCTCCGGTCATCCGCAGCTGCCTTCTCCTTCCGATCAGCAGAACGATCTCTTCGTCTATCAGTCCCCGCTAGAGGTTCTGGAGGAGTGTCCAACACATCCGCCATGCTAGAGCTGAAAGGGCCACACGTTGTTCGTCATCAAACCACCGGACGAAACGCGGTTCAAGCTTATCTGCCACTCCAACCTAGACACACATTCTCCACAAGAGCGTCGCTGCTGGCGACGGTGAGACCGGCTTGACAGCGACACTCGCAGCGCGCATCTCATGACCCGAATCCGGACTGCATGTCAGGACAGCAACACCAAACGAAACACGCTAAAGCACGCACACACAATTACCTCGACCTCAATCACACCCTCCTGAAACAACAACTACGGAGCCTCGAGCACCACCCCACCCACACACACATCACCCGGGAGCAAACATTGGCGCGACCGGCCACCGACGTCCGTGGCATAAAAGAGCAACTGTGCAGCGCGGGGAGATTATTACCTCCGCACCAGTCGTCGCACGGGCACGCCTGCTGCTCTCTAAGGCAACAACACGCCAACTTTCCGAGTCAAAGGACTTCGCCAAGAAATGACATCTATCCGGAATCTCCTGAACCCCGAACGCTCGCGACAGGACAGCTGCAGCTGCCCCGGCCCTCGAAGGGTTCTAGGTTTTGCGACTACGACGGGCGTAAAATCCTCCTCAACAAAGAATCCATGCCGACAATTCTCTGCGCACGAGTAACGGAGACCTAAACTCGTCTCCCCTGCAGCAAGTCGCAAGAAAGACAGACAGACACAGAACGCAAGAGCGAAGCTGCAACGCCGGCAACGGCATACGGTGCACAATTCTAGTGGGCTGGAAATACAGCCTCCAGCACGCGTCGTCGATCTAATTCCCTATTTCCTGCTTGGCCTCTCCGAATATTTTGACTAAAATCGAGGCTGTCCGGATGTGCTCGTTTCCGTTCCACTGTCTGTACTGTGACTCTTTATCTCATTCCTTAGCCCTTCAAAAACCATTCTTGCATCCCTTTGCTTGAACAGCAATCGTCGCAGCAGGCTCACTCCAAAGCTTGTTCATAATCAGTGAACAAGTATGTCCGCTTCTGTCAATCTTCAAGTGTGATTCTTATCTACAAGGTGATATATTCTATCACTTAGAATGAGTTCATTAAACCTTTGGATTTTTTATCTGATTATCAAAATGCCTACTATGTTGTGATACTCTAACACGGGATTGATTCACACTGCTAAGTTGGATCTAGACCTTGAACCAAGAGTAATAGTTGAATTTCTATAAGATGGTAATGCATTAGCCATGAATGGCGAAATTGAAATGTACTAGTTTAATATCTTAGAGCAATCTTCATTTGATATACACTTGGGCACTATAAGATACTTTGTGCTTTACGTTCATTTAGATATTTTAGAGAAATAACTATCAACTTGAAACAAACAAGTTTACATACAATAATCCGTATACTAACCATGTATAGATCAATCTATAATCTAAATTATTTTTTATACTCACATTTGAGATAGAAATTTGAGAATCAACTTTGGGAACCAATATTAGCAAAACAATGATATCAATTTCAACTAATACTTGTCAAAAACTTTAACAATATCTCATGTTTCAACTATGGATATGTGTACTTGAATTTTTTACTAACTGCGTAGTATAATGTCGTATAATATCAAATGTATTATAAAAACACTCAAAGTTTCACCTCATTCATGATATGTTATACTCCTTCATCATCTTCTTATGTTCAAAAATGTACTCGTCATGCATCACGTCAATGTACTTGGATATGTCAACGGAATCAAGTTCGTCGATGTTATCATAAGCATCCCCATTCTAGTCAACAATTAATCTTCAAGTTCAACTTCATATCCACTACCAAAGAAGAGTTTCTCTAGCCACTTGTATAACTTTGTATACTTTAATGTAACTATTTGACAAACTATTTCCAATTGAACAAAATTTCAATTTCAATTTTGTGGTTGCCCAATTGAACTTGGGAGCAACTATCAATATGGTTGATTGTCTCAAGAATACGTTAATTGTTTTGATCTTGTGTTTGTCCAAATTAACTCATGAACAACCTGCTTGATTGCCTTGTGATTGCATTCAACTTTGATCGTTTGGTTGCGTTCTTGTGCAATGCAGATAATTGACATTAAATGACGTTGTAATAATGATCATAACTAACGTGGCAAATTTGCTAAAAAATAATTGTTGGATGTTGTCATTATCATTTGCAAATCTATTGGATGTGACTTCAATTACTTGTTGATCAAAGACATTACCAATTGCAAACACTTTTTGATTAAACTTTGTAGCAATTTTACTGCGCATGGAAATACTATATCAGTTTCAAATGCTAGATCATGAACAGTAGTATATATTGTTGAAAAGCAATGATGAATCATCATCACAATTTGTTTGATATCATTTTTAGTCAAATTCAATGCATCTTTAGTGGCAAAATTTTGCATTTTGATATGAGATTTGATTTTTACAAAGCTGGCATACATGTACATTTGTCATTCTCTAAATATGTTAAACATAAACTAATCATCTTAAAAAGTTTATCACAAACAAGATTTTTCAATAAAATTATTATATAATTAAACTTTCAGTTTGATGTATATTAATGATATAATCGTTGTTAAAAATTTTGCTTGACAACATTGCACATGCCAATTTGACGTGCTAATATGCTAAATGACGTAGTATATTGGATATACTGAATGTACTTCATTGGATATATATAAACACATTAAGCAAGTACATCTTTCAATACTTCCCTATGTTCAACTTGTTGAAAAAATTCAACAAAATCTAATGTACGAGCTTTGACGACTTCTTCATCACAAATATTATATGTTTTAAAACGCAGTTCAGTACTAAAAACCGTTTGCATTATTCATTTACATTATATGGATTGCATGTAATACACAATCGTACGTCAAGATGAATTTGTTTGGAACAAAAGATTATTGCGCGACCTAATCATGACGTTTGATGAATCGCTATAAAAGCAATACATTGACGAATTAACAAAGTGTTCATTTTTATGCAAGACATGTCTTCTTCATCATATTATTGTATAACTTCAAAATATTTGTCTAGATATGCAATTCTTTATATATCCTTCATCGATAAGATAAAACTAGGAGCAGATTTATAAATACATATCAAAAGTTGTAGTTTGCGATCAAACAAACTTTTACAACAAATTCAACGCAATCTTTCTTTCATCTACATCATAAAATATTTCAAAAACATTGCAGCTGATGAATAAATCATCAAGTTAATCAACTTTTTACCCTTCACATTTGTGACAATATTGAAGATAAAGATTATCAACAACATATTTGATACAAGGTATGATTTGGAAGTTTTGTATAATACAACAATATAATATCACAAGTACAATATTGCAATTGTACATACACATTTCTAGATTCAAAAATTGACAACTAAACTCAATTTTGAAGCTTATACACATGAAAATTATGTAAACATTTATAAGTTCCAAATTATAAAAAACTTCACCACACAATTTAGTGTTTTCACAATGAATGTGTTGTGTGCTTATGATATAAACAACATAAGAAGTGATAAATACGTCTCTCAAATATAATTTACAATCAAGCAATGAACAGCAAAAAGATATGAGAATGCAAGCCAATCAAAATTTTTTATGATGTTAGATAATTTGAATTTTGTCATTAAGTTTGTCTGGTTTTTAATTTTTTAATTATCTTTGTGAATATTGTTGCAATCCCAAACACAATATAGGTTGTTGTATATGAATTTGTTTCATAAAAGTTTGTTGAAAATGTATAATATTTTTACTTCCATACATTTTTTATAGGTTGTAACGATGCATCATATGTAGGAAGTTGTTTATGCAATTGCAAGCAAATTATTTAATGCCATGTATGATTGATTCTATCTTTGTAAAATAATGTGAAACGTATATACATCTTTCACAAACATTTTGAACTAGCATTGTCTACATTATTTAAACAAATATAATTTATCATTATAGTTAACAAGTACATCATTCTAAAAAACTCTAAGTTTGTACAATTTTTTTCAAGCAAAACTAACTCTACTAACTAATTATACTATGCAGTCTTAGAATAGAATATAAGGTGTTTATTTTCCAAGAATACTTACTTAATATCAGCCAAATTGATATTGTGAAATATGAATATTTACAATTAGGTTGCCAATGTAGTGAATCACCAATGAGTTTAATACTATTATGTTCAAAAGTGTTATTTTTTAAAACAAAGTAAATCATTGATGTATGTTGATTGTAATGTGGAAACTTTTACAAATCATGTTGATTTGTTTATGTGTTTTTGCAAGAAAAACACAAACATATGCAATATTCTACTTGTGGAGGATTTTATATTGTCAATCATTTTATTTTGTCAAATTAACTTGTAATCAAATTTATTGTAATAGCATAAACATCAATTATAGATTCAAACATTAGTGATATGAATGTTTTATGTATATGATAATGTCATATACTATATAATGATATCATAATATCAAACATCAATATCTTCAAACATATCACAAATTATTTTATGCATGCAATTTGAAAAGTTTACAAATCATATACAAATATATCATGTACATAATGAGAGTTTGGCATTTGAATGCAGATTAAATAATGTTTATTTTTTATATGCTAATAAATCTCAATATAACTATTATCTGTTTTATGATGTTTTCATTGTAAATATTTTGGATTTGTCAACTTGAAATTTGAATAAATATGAATCAAGATAAAATTTGTAAGGTGTGCTTTTTTTTAACATTGGAGTCATAGTAGTACTTGAGCTTGCTTATAGTGTATAAATTGAAAATGTTTAAAAACTTATAGTTTTTAAACCTTGCCATTCACTTTTGTCAACATTAATTGTAACTATATTTTGAGAAGTCAATATTATTTTCATTTGTCCCACTTATATAGTTATTCTGACTTTTGTGTAGAAATTCTTCTCACGTTTATCATATTTTGATCTTACTTTCAGGTAAAATACTTATTTAGTTTTCTGTCATATCTTAAAGTTGTCATTCACAATGAGTATGAAAAAATCATGAATAAGTTTTTTAATTCAATTATGAACTTAATCATTGATTTTGTTAAACGATCATTATTCATACATTTTATATTGATCTCAATCATTCATACTGTTAAATGCATAAATTGTATGAATTATATTTACATTTTTATTATAAATATTATTTCATGTGTCATAATTTTTTTTTATGAAACATCATAAACTATATAAATGAAGTCAAGTAAACATGTAGATAATAATCATAGCATGATAACATATAACAATCAAATTATATTGAATTTCTTTCGATTTTTCAATGTTTTAGTATATTATCTGCATTTCAGTATAAATTTAAAATTATGTATATATGATAATATCATGATATTAAATAACATTCAAAATCTTAATTTAAATGGTTAAGTTTTAATTAAGGTAATATACATAAAAACATAAAAAAATGTGTGACAAAAAATATTATAATGTGATCAATAAATAATTTTTAAATAATTTTTTGTATGAAATACAAGTAAAAGTTAATCATTAATTAAATTTATAATTAAATAAAAATAAATTAGCATTTTGAACAATATTTATGAGTACATAAAAGAGTGTGTTAATCAAATGACTATGTTATTTGTTATTTATTAAAATATTTATAAAATACTGATACTTGTATTTAATTATGTGGAGTATTGCCCAAAATTTTCAAGATAAATAATATGAGCTGGTGTAGAAGATTACAAATTTAGTTGTGATTAAAAAATCATGTATAGACTTTTAATTGGTATGATTAAAATTACTTGGTATGATGTATGATTTAATATGCTACTCATATTTATTAGAGTATATATAAACAGATGTATAAATATACTTAAAATTTGTAATTTTAAAATATATAATAAAAATGTTAATTTCTTAGCATTAC